GCCGTAGGAGCTGGTCCTGGTGGCAGAGCCTCTGCCTCCGTGGCTGGGCAGCTGGGGGTGCCGCTGCTGCTGGCTGGAGGGTCCCTGGCTTGTGCTTGGTCCCGCTGCAGGGAAGAAAAGAAAGGATGGGTCAGTCAAGCAGGCCGGCCACTGTCCCCACACCTCCATGCCCTCCACCCCTGAGCCCAGGTGACACCACAGTAGTGTGGCTTGGGCCCACTCAGTTTCCCCAATGCCCCCCATGTTGTATGTTTGCAAAGAGGACTGCCCCTGGAGTAGGGTCCTCCGCCATGTATTGTAACCATCAGTCTGGGTCCTGGCCCCGTGAAGGGTGGGAGGGCGCGTGTGCTGCGTTAACCTGTGGAACTCCCTGCCAGTGAGGGCTGTGAGGCTTTGGGCTAATCACTGATGTTTGATAGGGAGTGAGATGCATCCCCACACAGTGCCTGGGAGCACATCTGGCAGAGGTGGTCTGGGCTTTCAGATCCCCATCGCGTGGGATATCTCCTGGGATGGAACCAGGGGGGGTGTCCCATCTTTGCAGCAAAACTCAGGCGGCCCTAGGGGCTGCCTGAGTGCTTCCCCCCCTTCTCCCTCCTACAACAGTGGGGACTTCCCTCAGGGAGCCAGCCAAGACACCAGGAGCAGGCGAGAGGCTCAGTGGGGGCCACGCTCATGGGCTATGACGCTGCGGTTTTCCCAGGAGCAGCTGGCTGTGCCTCACAGCCAGGCATGGGACAGTGTTGCCATTCTGTGTGCTGCACCCTTGCGGAGGTGCGGGCTCTGGCCTGAGTCCCTGGGACCTTGGCTGCTTCCAGCCGGCATCCACCCTTCCTCCCTGGTCCTTTTGGATGTGTGTGAGCAGCACGGTCCCAGGCGTGCCCTGCAGCTGCCTGCCATGGCCACATCCCGCTCGGTCACCAGGCTACACTTGGTTCCATGTGCTGCTTCCTGCCTAATGCTACACAGCGTGCAGTTCACGCAGGGCCTGAGTCCCTGGGACCTTGGCTGCTTCCAGCCGGCATCCACCCTTCCTCCCTGGTCCTTTTGGATGTGTGTGAGCAGCACGGTCCCAGGCGTGCCCTGCAGCTGCCTGCCATGGCCACATCCCGCTCGGTCACCAGGCTACACTTGGTTCCATGTGCTGCTTCCTGCCTAATGCTACACAGCGTGCAGTTCACGCAGCCTGAGTGACATGCTCTTCCCCTCCCCCCTCGGGCTCCTGGCTCCCCCCCTCCCCCGCCCCCTGCATCGGGAGGGCACTTGTGTTGCGTTCACCTGTGGAACTCCCTGCTGGTGGATACTGTGAGGCTTTGGGCTAATCACTGGTGTTTGACAGGGAGTGAGATGAATCCCCACACAGTGCCTGGGAGCACATCTGGCAGACGTGGCACATCCCGCCCCCTCGCCCTTGTGAGTGCAAAGTGCAAGACTCACCGATGGATCCTTCCCCGGCTTCCAAGGATACGCAGGAGATGTCGGGGCTGCTGGAGGGGGCCTGCTGGGTGGCAGTGCCGGCCTCATCCTCCGATGCACTGCTGTCTCCTTCCCCCGCCTCAGTAGTCCTGGTGACGGGGGAGGGGGGAACACATGCTGCTGTCAACGGGCACGTCCGGGGCTTGCGGGGCTGGCTGGCCCAGGATGGTATGGAGCCAGTCGTAATGGGGGCAGGTGTCTGCTCCTGCCCCCTGGCCCTCGCTGGCCCGCACATAGCCCAGGCGCAGCTCCTTGACTTTAGCCTGGACTTATTCAAGGGTCCGGGCTGGATGGCCTTGCTGGGCAAGCGCCTGGGCCATGCAGGGGTCAGCAGGCTGCCAGAGGTCGAGCAGGCTGTCCAGCTCCCCCGATGACCAGGATGGGCCCGTCGTTTGCGGCCCCTGGGGGCCTCCTGCGCTGGGGGTGCGGGTGGCTGGTGCCCCCCTGGAACTGCCATCCTGCTGCGGGGTGGCTGCTGAGGATGCAGGGGCCATGTGGCAGACCGCAGCCCTGAGATCCAAATAAGGGTCCTGCCTGGTGACCTCAGCAGCCTGCATCTGCTTTAAGACGGCTTGCATTAGCAGGAAGTCTGGGAAGCTGAGTCTGGCTACGGAGCCTCAGAGCGCCCAAAGGGCTTTTTTCTGTTTAGCCTGCTTTTGCGCAAAATGTCTTAGCTGCCTATCTACACTGGTCCTTTTGCGCAAAAGCATTTCCGGAAAAGGGCTTTTGCCCGAACGGGGACATCAAAGTATTTCCACAAGAAGCACTGATTTTGGACAGTAGATCGTCAGTACTTTTGTGGAAATTTAAGCGGCCAGTGTAGACAGCTGGCAATTTTTTGCACAAAAGCACTTCCTTTTGCGGAAAAACTTGCCAGTCTAGACACAGCCAGGGAGCAGAGACCTGTGAGCAGGCTGGGGGCAGAAGACCCAAGCAGGTGAGCCAGACAGGGCAGTGGCCAGGAGGGAAACCCTGGGAGAGCCTGGATGTCTGACCTCCACGGTCCAGCAAATTCCCTTGTTCGGGACTGCTCAGGTCCTGAGGGTACCAGACTAGGGAGGTTCAATGTGTGGAATGATTTATAATATCTGATTTGTGTCCATTTATCCTTTGTTACAGAGAGTGTCCAGTTTGGCCAAAATACATGGCAGGGGGGCATTGCTGGCACTTGATAACATAGATCACATTAGTGGACGTGCAGCTGTATGAGCCTCTGATGCTTATATGGTTCCATCCTGTGATTCTGGATTTTTCCCACACATATATATATATAGTTAGTTAGTGCCACTGGACTACTCATTGTTTTTAATGTTTCAGACTAACACGGCTACTCTAGTGAAGAAGGCCCTGGAAACAATACATTATGACAAATCTGAGTTCATAGACCAGGTGAGGTTCCTGCTCTATGTGCCACTATGGCTGGAAGGAACTATTGTAGTTGATGCTCAGCATCACTTTTCTGGCTTTGCCCCGCAAGCATTTGGAATCATGCGAGAAGGGTGTAATGTGATGCTCCAATGGCATTGGAAGGTTTCACAGATCATAACTATGCCAACTTTTGGCTTGGCGGGTCATCACCCCAACATCTGAGGTTGCCGTGTTGGTTATGAAATTTAAAATAATTGCAGCACTGCTTTCATTACACATTAAGCACTGGGGACACCCCAAGAGTGGGAATAAGCAGACACCACTCAAAGAAGAAGATTAATTACATTATGGTCCAGCCCAGACCATCCCTGGGATAAGGATGAAGGGAAAGAAGAACGTTGTTCCTACCAGGTAACTGGTTTGAAGAGCCTCCCAGATGGTTTGGCCGGCACCCCTCACCATGCTGTGGAAATGCTGGTAAGCATATTGCTGGAACTGGGTCATCCCGGTGCCCAAATGCGCTGGGTAATTGCCATACACTTGCTGCTGCTGAGCAGAAGCCACTCCATCTTCTTCTGCAAATGCTGTACATTTAACCAAAAGACACAAGAGAATAAGGCTATTGTGGCAGATGAAAGGTGTTAGGGTCAGAATGGACCACAGCTTCCTCACAGTGTCATTTGAAAGCCTGACTCATAGAGTATAAAGTTGGAAAGGACCACTGTGGTCATCTAGTCTGACCTCTTGTATAACATAGGCCACCTGGGCATTCCTCTCACTAGGTCCTTATCTGCATCTTTAGGTACCTATATACCATTAAAAGTCTGGCCCCTAGGCAACTGCACTGCTGTTACCACTGTTTGCCATCAATCTAGTAATGGAACTGTTGTAATGAGAAACTGGATAAACAACTATTGCTGATACTACCATTTACCTTTGTCAAGGAACATACCCATTGACCACACATTTGAGAGCATCATGTCTACAAATACACTTAAATTTCCTCTATCCAGAAAGCATTAACTCCCCTCCCCAAGTGCCAGCCCAAGTTGACAGTCAAGGGTGCAAACACATTCCACTCCAGTCATAGTTTAGTGGCTTAGAATCTTGCGTGCCAAGATATGTGCACTTTTCCGATCAAGCTTCAGTAAAATAAATGTCACATCATAGCTTAACATATGTTGTCACAGCTGTGGCTAAGTCTCACCTCACAGGATGCTGGGGACATATTTCAAAATCATTCTCTTCTGTCAGTCTGATACTTGTCTTCCTTTTCCACCACAGGGAGGTGAATGGATGACAGCAAGGACTAGAACTGAAAGAGTAGCTCATGGCTTAAAGTGAGTCCAAGTGGAAATCCTGTGGATCATTATTTGCTCTGATGAATGGAAGAGGCCACTTCCCAATAAAAGGAAAGACCCAGGTAATTAAAAGAGTGAAACACTGGGAGGGCCCCATTTTATTTTTAAAGATAAAGCCAAAATATTGAAACCGGGACTGGAATTTTCAAAGAGACCTATGAGAATTAGCCACTCAACTCTTACTGGAAACCAGTGGAAGTTGAATAGTGAACTCCCTTAAGCTTCATTGAAATTCTCAACCTGTATGTAATCCAGAAAAGTCCTTGCCCATTTCATCAACTGTGTAGAGGCAGGATGTGAGAGCTCATCAGCTGTCTCCAGCACTGCTTGAAATTCATTCCTGCCCATCCAGCTAGTCAGGAATTTTTCAGCACAGTGTTCTTATATTGGAGTCATCAAAACCAAGACTATTCACAGAACTGTGGTGCTGTGCATGAAACTTCCGGCATCGAGGTTTCTCAGCTCCAGGATGGAATGGACAGAATCCATCCTGGCACAGCCAATAGCTTAGGGCTTAGGGCATTAACTGGGATGTGGGGAGCCCCAGGTCCAGCTCCCTGCTCCAAATCAGGGAATTGAACCTGGTCACCCCCAACTTAGATGAGTGCCCTGATTCCAGCCTATTCTGGTCTGAGGCTTGCTCAAGTTTTTTAATACAATTTTTTGAAAGGCTTATTTTCATTTCACTGTAGAATGAAAAAGAATGTCAAAGCCTGGAATTTTGTTGTCAATCAGAATTCTTGTTTTCTAGCAATCCCTACACACTTTTCATCTGATGACTGTATCCATACCATTAATTGCTGCTGACTGGGTGGTCCCTAGACTGGCTTGGATGGTGTCTTTGGTCGGGCCTACAACCACTATTATTGTGTCGGCCATAGCGTCATTTGCATCCTTCACTTTGGAAGACATCATGAGGTTCTTTGCATCTGAAACAACCTGAAAATGAAATAGTCAGAAGAAAGTTTGTTTTATTCTAAATAAATCTGTACATCTATGAGCAAAACTTTCAGACTTGGGTGCACAAAGTTAGGCTCCTAAACTCGTTGGCTGTGTCTAGACTGGCCGCTTGAATTTCCAGAAAAGCACTGACGATCTCATGTAAGATCGTCAGTGCTTTTCCAGAAATACTATGCTGCTCCCGTTCGGGCAAAAGTCTTTTTCTGAAAGACTTTTGCGCAAAAGGGCCAGTGTAGACAGCATAGTACTGTTTTCTGCAAAAAAGCCCCAATGGATAAAATGGCGATCGGAGCTTTTTTGCGGAAAAGCGCGTCTAGATTGCCCTCGGACGCTTTTCCGCAAAAAGTGCTTTTGCAGAAAAGCATCCTGCCAATCTAGATGCGATTTTTATGAAAATGCTTTTAACGGAAAACTTTTCCGTTAAAAGCATTTCCGGAAAATCATGCCAGTGTAGACGTAGCCTTCATGAGGTAGCCAAGAAAGTGGGGTGATTTTCATAAGTGCTGAACAACTTCAGGCTGTTTTTCAAAGTGTTGTCCTAAGAGCGCATCTCAAAATAGAGTAGATTGCAAGTGATGAAGGCACATCCCCTTCTGCTTATTGTGAGGCTTAATCTTCCATACAGTAGATACTTCATCATAATGTTGTCTTAGAACATCTGTGAAATGCAGTGCGAGTCATCCTATTTTATCTGCCTTTTCCTAATTTTCAGCCAACAGAAAATTTGTCCATTACCCTAGCATTCCCTCTAGTGTTTGAATGGAAACTGTATGAGCTGCCTGTGGTTCTCTAGTGAAACCCACAACTGCCCATCGTTTGATCAGATACATGAATGTAAAAGAGGCTACCCCTATTCACAACTCACCAGAAAAACATTCAGCTGCCACCACAGCTCTACTCACTCTTGCTAACAGAGCTCAGCAGTTCTCAAACTGTAGGTCAAGACCCCAGAGTGGGTCACAACCAATGTACCCTCTAATCTTTTCCATCTATGTGCAAATTTTTTCCATCCATGTACAGAATAAATGTTATGTGCACCAAGGTATGTGTGAATGTGCACCACCGGTAGAAACACAAACCCAGCCATGGGCACTCTGCTAGTCAGTGAAGCGGCATGTGACTCTCCTGAGAGGCCACACAAGTGCACAGCTTACAAGAAACACTTCTCACAACCCCGTTTTAATGGGGTCACCAGAGGTGGCATTAGACTTGCTGGGGCTTGAGGCTGAAGCTGGAACCTGGGACAAGAGCCAATGCCTAAACTACACCACTGTGCAGCAATGCTTCTGTCCTGCCTCCTGGAGTCATGTAGTCATTTTTGTTGTCAGAAGTAGGGGTCCAATGACGTTTGTGATCCCCTAGAATACATCATAGCCTACCCCTAAAAGAAGTATCTAGTAGAACAACAGATAATTATTACCTGCTCAGTGGTTTCACAATGAACAGGTGGCTTCTCCTGCGCTGAATCTAGACCCTTACATTTTCCTGTTGCAGCTACAAAGAGACACATAGAGTTAGTTTCTCGACTCTCTTTCAGTGTGAGTAAGAATCCATTGGCTTATGTTTATATGTCATTGTTCTCAGAGCAGCCATATCACCAGTGGAGACCGAGGCCCATTTTCCCGCTGGCTTTAGGCAGAGAAGTTGCTGAAAAACTGCACACGATCTGAGCCTGGCAATCCGGGTTGAATGAGGAATTTCCCATGGGAGTTTTATTTTGAGTTCCATTTTCCCTTCCCATTGACTCTCTATCCCAGTTTACTCACCCTGGGGCTCAAGGGTTGTCAGCACTGGTTGTGCACTGCTGATTACAACTTCATTGATGGGCTTCCCTCTTTTCGCTGTCCCAGTAAGCTTAAGTTTGAAGCATGAGTGTCTCTTTTTGATGGAGGTATATTTAGCGGAAACCAAGTGACAGACAGTGCTGATGAAGGGTAGGTCACTCGGTTTCTTCAAGACATTACGCTGAGGCAAAACAGGAAAAGTCACATCAGCAAAGAGTCACTGACAGGCTGAAAAGCAAAGCCAAAACTGCGATTGATCTAGCTAGCTTTTCAAAGGTTTAGGTCCAGCACTGAGCTAGTTTAAATGGCAGAACTTCAGTGAAGAAAATCAGAATCCCTGGACTGCTTTAGGTCATGTCTTTTTAAATTAGGTAAATTGAAAAGTTGAATACAATCAAATATCTAGTCCACCCACATATTTCCATGTAATAAGTCCTGTAGGTGAATACACTGAGAAGACCTTGGTGTTTTGGGGGATGAGGGAGAATTACTTGCAATTTGAGTCCTGATACAACTTCTACTAATCTGTCTTTGAACTGCTTACACATAAGATTTGGATGACTCAAAATCTAAAGAGTCTTTTACTGCTTGCCCTTTAAGAATGGAATGCTTAGTTCTGACCGTTTCAAGTCTTATAGTCTAGATTGTGTCTAGCGTGACTACCGTAAACTAGCGTATATAACCCGCACTCGTGTATAACCTGCACCTGTGCAATAACCTGCGATTTTCCCTAAATGTGTAAAAAATGTCTTAGATAACCCACGCACGTGTATAGCCCACGGGTTATATACTCTACAGCTGGTCCCCGAGTTGCAAACGGTCGACTTACAACCGTTCGCAGTTACGACCAAAACTATCGTAAATGGTGGACCCCAAGTTACGAACGCAATCCACACCTATGAACAGCGTGGTCACGTGTACCTCAATGGGGTCCAACTTACGAACAAACCGAGTTACGACCAATTGCTTGGTCCATAACCAGTTCATAAGTCGGAAAGAGACTGTACTTTTAGGTACCTGGTAATTGCACATACCAGCCGCAGCCTCCGGGAGGGGGGAACGGAGAGTGTAGCGCAGGCGAGATGGCCGGCCTGCAGGAGGGGAGCCGCACTCAAGCCCAGGCTCCCCGCAGCCAGGCACAACCCACCCTCCTCCGGGGAGGGGAGAACGGAGAGAGCAGTACAGGCCAGCGTGGCCGGCCTTCGGGAGGAGAGCCGCACTCGCGCCCAGGCAAGTAAAAATAAACTTGTACACCCTGCGGACATGTATACCCCACAGGGGGGTTGCGGGGTTTGTAAAACTTTGTATAACCTGCGGGTTATATGCACTAAAACACGGTAATTCAGAAACTGAAAGGAGATGTCATTCTGTTTGCTGCATATCGCACCTTCAAAATCTGCCTCGCTCTGCTACTTTGGGGGCTTTTGTTAAATGACTATTTTGTTTTTCAGTTCAGATGCAGCTTTATGCCAATATTATTCCACATCAGTAATATAAAACTGGTATAGGACTGTGGAGAAACAAGGCCTTTATACATGTTCTTTGTTGTTTTCCTTAGTCAAAAATCAAAGTCAGACTGAGCATTTCTTTGGTCTTTCTGTGTGGAAAAACATAATAAAAAAAAGCACAGAGCAGTGGAATGGCTATTTAGAATAGATTTAAGCCCTCTGGACTTTCAGACATCACCTTTGAATTTGCAGAGCAATTGTCAGACACAAGTTTTGCTGTGTCAGTCTTGGCTTTGACATATGACACACAGCAAGAAGGGCTGAAAAGCACCAGCCCTGGTGCTGCTTGTAAGCCATGGGCCCCTCAGCTGGAATCAACATTCCTCTAATGAGAGACAAGTCAATTTAAAGTAGCTTAGGGCCTTGCCTGCTAGCTTCCTTGGCACAGAATGGAGAACTTAGAATTCACATTCATTCAGTTCTGGCCTCTTTTCAACAGTCACTAAGCACATTTCTTGACACTGCTGTTTAGGGGTAGCCCAAATTACCTGCTGGCTGGTGCTTACCAG